AATTCTGATATACTGGAGCACCGCTGTGACCACAGTCTGCGAACCACTGCTTTAATCTGGCCCTCAATGTCTGCTGATGTGAGGGAAGTTCATTAACACATCAACCTTCAGTGAGAAAACAACACTATTCTGATTTGAGCACTTCAAATCATTCATCTTGCAAATATTCTTAATCTCGTGAGAGCCCAGATGTGCAAACGGATGACCGAGCAGGAAGAGGGAAACGGTCTGGACAAATGTCTGCGTTGGGGGGAAAAAGAAGCGTCCAAATTCTCAGTCGTTTTCTCTTTATTCGATACGGTGGTCGTCATAGAGAAAGGGAAGGAAGTGTTTATCCGTGGTATCTCTGGCAGAGGATTCGGCCACTCCACGTCTGATCTCACTGGAACCGAGAGGACCGGCTGTCACGCCCCGTTGGGCCTGATGCCTGTGGCCAGGCCTCGCTGTGACCTCACGGGTCTCGTTAGGAAATCGCCCCTCGGGTGTTCCTGCGACGGCTGAGCCTGGGGAGGAAAGAGGGTGTTGTCCGTGCGGTGCTCCTTGCAATCGGTCACGTTTAACTTTGCACGGATTGTAGGAAGCCACAGCCTCTCTGTCTACCTCTGCTTCGTCCCTCCCGTCATAAATCGTGAGGTCCTCCCGTTGCAGAAAACTGCATCCTGCTCTGTTCCAGATGTGTTTAACAGCCTCTCTGGGCCACAGACAAGCCCCGCCTCTCTTGGAGATACAGAGATGCTTGTCAGGCTCATTGACTCCTCTGTTGAATTGTGACTCCATCAGAAGAAAGATCCACAATCACAGCCTGAGGGTGACTGCCAACAAGTGTTCATGTTTAGTTTCTTTTGCAAAGAATGAGCTATTTTGTGCATTCTCAGCTGTGTTTTCGACTAATTTTCCTTCATCCCCCACCCCCCGATTTTTAATTTTGCCTTTGATTGACGCACTGCAGCCGGGTCACCCATAACCGTGTCATCATGTGCTGTGATATACACCCCCATTAATATTTCCCCCTCTGGTCCGGCTGTGGGATCAGGGGCGGGTACTCATCACGCTCGAGCTAACAGAAAGTTGCCAGCATTGAGCACATTAACAACGGCCAGAGGACACATCACGCGGTCCAGCAGTGTCGAGTCAGGCTCCTGCCACCAAACTGGAAACTTTTTTAGGTGGATTTGCAGATCTTGAGTCTGTTTAGATTGAGCTCCAGCTACTGCTGTCTGTCCGGTTCGGGCCATAGATTAAGATTTCACTTGGATTTAGAAAAGCACACAAAAAAATATGCAGCAGGTGATTGGATGAACCATTTGTCAATCAAACTCTTAACAGCCATGAGAAAAGCCTTCAGTGTTCTTTGCTCTTCTTTCAATGAAGAAATACTCTCCAGTTCTGATAGAAGTGGTGCTATCGTAGCATCTACGCTAACTTCTTAAGATTGATTTAGAAGATTGATTGAAGCACCGGCTCACCTGAAACTAAGACATTACAAGAAGCCTGTCGAGATGGATTTTCGGCTGAAATGGCCCTGATCAGTATTTTTCACAGCTTATTGCGTCTTTTTAAAAAAAGGAATTGTTTCTAACATTAACTTAACACAAACCATGAACTGTAAGCTACCTAATGGTTAATAGTTTGAATCAATTAATACAACTTCCCCCGAAATCCCAAGTACGTCACTAATTTGCCTCTTCTTTTTCCGATCATTGTAACTCCGTTGGTAACATCATGTAGATCCAGGTATCCATCAACAGCCACCACAATGACAAAATAACACTAATGACGTTGGGTGCTCATCAACGCAAAAGCAGCACGCAAAACACTTCACTTTCATTGAAAACGGTGACAAAAAGCCACGGCCGGCTGCTAAAACGTGCTCTTTCTGATCGAGGCCTTAAATTCTCTCTCTTTGTTTTCAACGAACTTAATATGTGGTGGGTGAGAGTGCCGTGACAGCAGGAATGGTGCTTTTTATTGCATTACGGCCCATAGAAGAGACACAGTACAACCATTTTGGAACTTTTCCATCCATCCACAGTCATTTAAAAAAACACATATATCCATACATGAACTTTGACCTCAGTATTTGACCCGTGCTAAGCATCAGCAGCAGTAAGCGGCTGTAAAACAGCCGGGGAGCAACATGGGGTCCACTTCAACTTGTCAAACCGCCAACCTTGTGGTTAAAAGACGACCCGCTCTATCCAATGAGCCACCCACCACTCTGTCCATGACCACAGTTGACCACAACACACCTGAGTAAATACCCCCCCCCCACAGTCTACAGGCTCCCTCCCACTTAAATCATGGTAGCAGGTCCTGGCCTGTGTCCCCAGACCCAGGACCTCTGTGAGCCGCTGCACATCAGACAAGAAGCTCATTGTGTGGAAATGTGATGAGGAGGCATGCCGGAAGTTTCCATGACATGGGCTTCTGCACATGCTACACGTTTCTTTTTCCGAATATATTCTCCCAAGTCTCCCAGCATTCCTAATTCAAAGGGTTAACAAAGGATTTTTTTGTATTTTTGTACTTGTGTGGGATGCTAATCACGCTAGCTAACTGTGGCTGTGTTGTGTTTGCTTGTTTTTTAACAATGGCTGAAGAAAATATGAGTTTCTCTGAATATGTAAAGTTATTCACTCTCTGGGAGTTTTACTTGAGAAAGTTAACATTAACCAAACAATGATCGGCTGACTGATGGAGGAACCGAGCGTCCATTATAAAGAGAAACTGATCGTTACTGGCTGTAACTATCCTGTAGAAAAAGTTGCTATTTTAGCATTAGCAACAGCTTCTTACACTGAAAAAATTCAGTTAAAATGAGTCTAACAATATCAACAGAAGGTTTCAGAGATGGAGCGAAAGTGTTGCTAATAGTTTAGCCTCTGCCAATTGTTTGTATATAAATATTTGAATCTATTAGCAACGTATTCTCTCCATCAGTCTAATAGTTAAGTGTATTAGAACTATATTCAGTCCATCTCTCTTTAGTACTTTAGTCTTCTGCGTAAGTTGTGAGCTGAAGTTAGCAGAAGGCTAAACTATTAGCAACATTTTCTCTCCATCTCTGAAATGCTTCGTACTTATTGTGGCTTTATCGTCTCAAAGGTTTGCATTAACATTTCAAGTTGGAGCCATTAAACCTCATTCTATCCTGGCACCCAACAACAAAACAAGATGACATTATCAATGTGTCACTTAAGCCCACTGCTCTGCGGTGATTTGAGTTTGCCTTCAGTCTTTATTTTGTTCTGCCTCCAGCTCACACCGTTGGGTAATCATGTCAGCACTGAAAAGGTTTATTCCTCATTTACAGACCACAGAAGAAGTGACCCCGTTGAGATTGTTCTTCAGGACTCTGAGGTCCTGGAGGCGTGCTGGAGCTTACTTTCTGCTCTGCAGAGCAAATGTGTAACTTTAGATATTAGATATGGTTTTGAAGAGCCGGCGGTATAATTGGTTTTCCCGGTTGGTGGCAGGCAACACGGGGCAAAGCCTGGAGAGATAATTAAGATGGCTGACAATACTCACACAACCTGTGAAGACATCACGACTGAGATGTTGCTGCTGGGATTCCCTCAAAGATTTCATCCAGATGTAAACATACTGGTGCACTCGTACACATGGTTGATGCACAATGACTAAGATGGCTATTCACATATTTTAATAAAGTCCACTATCAGGATAAACTTTTGGCTTGTAGCATGTTTTTCAGTGTATAATCAGTTTTAAAGGCCACAGAAATACCTACAATGTTATAACCGATCATTTGGTTTCACGTAGATGTCTTATATTTTTGATTTTTATATATATATATATTTTCTTTTATTTATTTTTTAAATGTTTGAAAACTAACACTTTATAAACTAAAATGTCAGAGACTCTGTCCTGCATCCTCTGCAGTGTTTTCAGCTCTTGGTCTGGGGAGCAGCAGCTCCATCTATTGGTCAAACAGGGTAGTAGTGATGCTGTCACGTCACAAAATGTAAATTGGGGGGAATTATTGAGTCTATTGTGGAAAATTAATGACAGTAGAATCCTTTGAGAGCCCAAAATACAAGAGAAAGGCATTCATCATTTACAAAAACAGGTCTGCTATAAATGTGTCCCTGCTTGTGTTCAATAACACCAGTTTAATGGCATTAGCATGTCAGTCCAACAATGGATACACATAGACTATTATATGGCTAAAAGACATTCATGGTCTATGTTTTGTAGGTAAAGCAGCCATTCTAAACAGCGTCTCAAAGACAAGATCATAATTCAGAAAGAAATCATCCACAAAAAGTAAAAGACTCAACTTGGAGTTGGAGGGTTTGCCATTTATTCTTTAAAAAAACAATCATAAAAGGCACAGTTGGAGTATATATTCATCACAAACATTAAATCATAGTGAATTCATCCTACAGTACTGACTATATATGTTTTATATAATTCAAGCCATTGAAGAGTATGTTCATTACTATTGAACAGAGTAAAAATGAATACAAACAATTTTTATATTAAATGCATAGAAACATTTCTGCAAAGTAACTATCTACTGGTTCTATTCTTATACACTAACTAACACTATGGAAACTGATTTAAAAAATATATATATTTTAAACATAAAAAGCAAAATCCAGTTATTGATGCCATAAACATGTCATGTTAAATATTCTTAAACCTTATTATGTCTCACTTTGTCTCAAACAAATGTCCAGAATACAAAACGGCACCAAAAAAAAGTTTACAAAAAAGAAAAGCAGAGCAGCCACTGACCGCTAGCACTGACCGCTAGCACTGACCGCTAGCACTGACC